TATATAAATAATGACAAAAACACAACAAAACTTTCTAAATGTACTTAACCTCTTAAAATGTAAGCTGAAATTAAAAAATATAAAAATAAAAACTAATTCAAAATATGAATAAAAGCCCTATTAGTATCTCAATGATACTAAAAATAAAACTGCAAAGAAATAACATGTTGAATTATTTGGAGATGTTGAATTATTTATTATTTTGAAGAAAAACTGAATTAGTATTTTTTTATAAAACATACTCCAATAATCTTTGATTAAAATCATTTTTTACAGTGTATGGTGGATAAAATCAAGTCCTTCTTTGTCAAATATCCTTTAGTTACAAATATGTTATAATGGAGAAGTTAAGTGCTTTTCAAATGTATTCAATTCTCTGGATCTTCTCTATCAAACACTAAACATGTTCACATTTGTGCGCAGTATTGACTTTATGTATATAATATCTCAGAGTCACATCTGTTATGCTAATGAAAAGCTAGATTAAATGTTACTATTTATATACAGAATGCTTCCTCTTGGGGAAAAACACATGTTGGTGCGTGTTTGGGGTTGCAGGGGGCATACATATTTCCCCTTGAAAAACAAGTGGACCATTATTGCGTGTTACAGCTCATTAACTGTGTGTGTCATACAGGACTATAATGATGAGATCAGACAGGCTCAGCTACAGGAGCTGACGTATCTGAACGGCGCCTCGGAGGATGCCAAAGTCCCAGCGGCCAGAGGCAAAAGCAGCACACGAGGCAGAGGAACGCCAGCGCCGGGACCGCACAGGTGCAACAGCGTGCCATTCTACTCTGATCACATTTAGAGCGTAAACTTCTAAACGGCAGGAAAAAAATTGTTAACAAGGAAATTAACACCTTTTCTGCTCGTATAATTTTTTTCTGCTGTTTAATGAGAAAAGCATTTTAAACTCCACTGAGAGTTTAATGCGGTATAACTGGCAGATTTATTCTCACATGGACTGACGCTAATGTAATTTCCTCAAACCAATCTCATTTTCATCTTAGTCGGAGAGGAAAATTCAATCAAACCGTCAAAGTAATCTTCCATTGGAGGATGGGATATAATCAACGGGCGTATTGTTATTTAGTAAATGATGGCCAGAAACTAGACTAGATCTGTCTGTCTGTCAGTCAGTTGAAAGATGCATAATAAATGTAAAAGCTTTATTATCAATGTTGAAAACAGTTGTGCTGCTTATTTTTATACATATTTTTCAGCATTCTTTTTTTCAGGATTTTGCTTTGAAACAATGTAAAATAATGTCAATTTTGTTACATTTAATGTATTTTTGAAAAATAAAGTATTGATTTCTTTAAATGAATGAATGAATTAACTATACAAATAAATAGACAGGTGATGGGGATAACTAATAACAAGGAACAGGTGATACTAATACTGTGAAAAGGAACTGGAAGGACCAAATAAGGGAAACAGGAATTCAACGGGCACATACTCGTGACAGATCGCACCCCTCCCTCCCCCAACAGTACCATTGGGGAGGGGGGGGCGGGGCCCCCCTGAACTGGGGATCAGGAGCCCTCCGTGGGCTATAGCTGAACTGGGGATCAGGGTAGCGCTGACGTGGTGCTGGCACTGGAGGGTGCTTTGGAGGAGCAGGCACAGCAAAGCGCCTTTGAGGAGCTGGCACCGGGGGCCGCTCTGGAAGGCGCTTACGAGGAGCGGGCACTGGGGGGCGCTCTGGAAGGCGCTTACGAGGAGCGGGCACTGGGGCTGGAACCGACACTGGGCCCACATGACCGGATGGCGGGCTCGCCATATTAATGTTCACTGGGCTTGCCATATTATTGTCTGGCGGGCTTGCCACATTAACATCCGGTGGGCTTGCCACTTTAACATCCGGCGGGCTTGCCACATTAACGTCTGGCGGGCTTGCGCTTACTGGACTCGGGAACGGCCGGCAGATGGGTCCCGGATCGGGATCGGAAGCTCTCCAGACACCGGATGACTCCCTCCTTCCAGCCGAAGTTGGTGGTGTCTGGGAGCTCCGCGGGAGGATGGTAGGTTATCCCGATCCGGAACAGCGTCAGGAGGGTTTCTCCCTCGAGGGAGCTGGCGAGGGCGAGCGGCACGAACGCTTTCCTGTAGAGAACCGGGTCAGGGTTCGCCTGAGCCACGGCGATTAACATCGCTCGTTCCTCCATTTGGACGGGGAGAAACGAACGGGAAAACAAAACAAAAACACTTTTCAAAAAACGAAAAACAAACACGGGTGGAAGGGGTGCCGCTTATTGTCACTTTTGTGGTCTGGAATTCTGTCACGGTCGGTGGTAGTGTGAGGAGCGCGGAACGAGGAACGAGGAGACCAGGAGTACTAAACAACGGGATTTATTCTTGTCACAGGGAATCACACGTAGCACAAGGAGAAGACATCAACATACAATTCCAGACAAGGGAGAACTGAACGGGCTAGAACTAAATAGGGTAGATAACGAGGGGCAGACAGGTGATGGGGATAACTAATAACAAGGAACAGGTGATACTAATACTGTGAAAAGGAACTGGAAGGACCAAATAAGGAAAACAGGAACTCAACGGGAACATACACGTGACACATATATAGTATGTTTGGGTAAAAAGGTGTGACATCACTAATTCAGTCCATTCATGGCCAAACATTTCACTTACAGTGTATATGTATTTTTTACACTACTAAAATTCACTGTGTTAATTATTTTTTTTTTAAATGAAGAATTCTTGCTCCAGGCATAATGTTTAGTTAATTATATTTATGTAATTTAAATGTGTCCTGCAGGTGTAGAGGGGGCGTTCCTCCTCCTCAGGCTGCAGTCCCGCGGGGGGTGGCGCCCAGAGGAGCTCCGCCCAGCAGGGTGCCGTCCAGCAGAGTAAGGGGCGTTCCCTCTCAGAGAGCACGAGGAGCTCCGCCCCCACCTGGGTACAGACCTCCCCCTCCGGTGGTGCAGGATACCTATGGTGAATATGTAAGTAACTGTAACATCCATTGCTGTAGCGGCCTTTCTTTTTAGGGACTATAAGAAAGAATATGTATAGTATGCAAGGACAGAATTAACGAAGCTCAAATCATAGTATTCAGCCAATGGTGGCATTCAAGTATGCTTTTAAAGAAATATTGCTCACAGCAACTTTTGCTATGCTAGATGGTTTTCGAAAGTTAATTCATTAAAACCTAATTGTGTACTTTACCATCACCAGTGCAGATCTACGCACTTAGAGATTCAACCATAGTCTTTGGCAGTGTTATTTTAGTATTATTTAAATACTTTATATCATTTAATAATATTTGTAATTAGCTTTTATTTTAATATTTTCCGTTTTTAATTTTGATCTGTTGTTTTATTTATTTATCTATTTTAATTTTTAACATGTCTATTTAGCTTAATTTTTATTAGTTTAGTTTTAGTAATAAAAAATTAGAAATGTTGACTTGGCAACTAACTGAAAATAAGTAAGCTTTTCATCTAATATTTGTTTTATTTTATTTCAGTTTTATTTTTAATTAACATTTTTTTCCGCATTGTCATTGTTTATTTATTAAAAAAAAAAAATTATATTATATATACTGTATATATATGTATGTATGTATGTATATTTTCCATTCATTTTTGTATTGAATAAGCGAGACATTTACTCTGTTTGAGCTTTTACAGTCATTTCAGTACCTGTCTAGACAGAAAGAGTGATCTATGATATATGTCTATAATAGCCAGTGTTTTATTGTTGACATTTCTCATATCGATAAATTATATAAAACAAACTTGCCAAGGCTCTCGCAGAAATTAATGTTTTCTGATGCTGATCTCATTTGTCAGTTGTTACAGAAGAGTACATGGTGCGGCCGTCTATCGGAGACATCCTAAATCATTTCATCTGCTTGATTTACTTGTTTTTGTTTGCGATTATGTGGAAAAATGGTCTTGTTTGCTTGCCTGCTTCTGACACTGTTATAGATTTCCTTTGCTTTGAGTTTTAATTTATCAGACAGAGTTGCAAAGCAACTACTTCAAATACATTGAGCTTTATTTGAATGTTCGCCAACCCCTCTCGATGTTGTGCGTCTCTGAGGTCTTTTGGCTCGCTTGTGGCATGTTTAACAGATGGCAGGCCCGGAGAGGTGGGTGGAGTTGGCACACTGCCCCGCAGTGCCCATATCTAACCACATCTGACAGGTTTATTTAGGGGGCACCGTTCGAATGCGCTGGGGTCAGAGGAAACGACTCAGTCGCCAGCTGTTCCCTATCGTTTCCACGGCCTGGAAACACCCATCTGTGCAGGAGCCTGAAACACTGGGAATGATTCGAACATCTGTGGGATGATAAATGTGAAGCTGTCACTGTGAATCAGTGTTTAGATGTTCCTCGTCAACAGAAAGATCTTCTGACTGTCCAGAGAGCCAGAGAGTTGCGACAAGTCATGGGAAATTAGAGATCGTTGTGGAGGAATAGTGAAAATGGATAAATGAAAATGCTGTCGTTATTTACTCACCCGCATCCACTCTCAGTGTCTGGATTTATAATAATCAACTAATCACATTTGCTTTCCCAAACAAAAATCAAGAAAAGATATCAAACCACTACATGATTAATATATCTGACCCAAACATGGCCACATAACTCTCTCAGAGAATCAACTGAGGTCAGAGTGAACACGTGTCTTATGTGATTTGAAAACATCTTGATCAGATTACCACAAATCAATAAGCCAAAATACATTTTAAAGGTACCGAATCTGATTTCAAGCGTGTTTGGGGTCATAGAGGGTGGATCTGCTTGCTCTAGTGTAAGTGATTAATATGAAGTAATTGCATCGGTCATTTGTCTCTCTCGAGGGCTGCTCTGATACCTGACTCACTCTCTGCGGAGGGTTGCAATAATAGCATTACGGCATGTATTATCCCAGTCTGTATCTCAGAACCTCTGTTTCCACAATCAAAACCGCTTGTCACTTCGGTTTAGCCTCATAATTACCGAGCCGGTTGCGGATGCTATATCTCTCCTTTGGTTGAGTGCTGAAATTACTTTCATTGTCACCAGTGTTGTGTTATGAATGCCGCGTCCAGTGTGATGTTTCTCAAACCAACACAAATCAATGGTTTGTGTTCTCAATAGGGCTGTACAGCGAGACATATTGTTTTGCTTTAGGCTCTTCCGCTGAGGCGTTTCATTCTGTCCACACCGCTTTTTATCACGCTGAAGTACTTTAGCGACATGCAGACCTGTGTGAGAGTTGTTACTGAGTAAGTGCCGACACTCCAAAACATATTTCTGAGCCTCGGGTCTTCAACTTTAAATGTCTCTGTTTTTAGGGGGCGTTTGACACTTTTTGTTGAAAGTATAATACACTGCAAAAAAAGGGGGATAGAATTAGAATGAGTACAACAATAGAAACAATTGCTTGTAAATGTTACTAATAATTACAAAGAATTGGCAAGTAACGCATTTAATTAAAAATGAAATTTTGAAGTAGAAAGACTTAAATACTAATGAATTTACAGTATGTATATAATGTGTAAGAATATTCACATTTCATAGCTGTATCAATAATGTTTTGTCATGCATTTGCTTTTTATTAAGCAGGAATTTAATTTGATTGAAAAAAAAATATATGATTATAAATGTGGATTGATCAAAATAATTTGGAAAATAATATTTATTATTCCATGGTCTGTCTGAATACTGGATTCTGAATCACAGAAATAAATTATATTTTATGTAACCATGGTTCCCTGAAGGGAACGAGATGCTGCGTCGAAACGCTACGGGAACGCCTTCAGCGTGACCACGCTCTGAATCACATTTGTAATCAGTCCAATGGATGGGCGAGACGTCACAGGCGGGCTGACATAACGACCAGTAAGCATAAAAGCATGTGTGGTGGAACCGGCGTTAGCTTCTAGGAATATAGCAAGTGCTGACAGGGATGCCGGAATTATGGCTCTGAGACGCAGTGTCTTGTTA